CCTTAGCAGGATAATACTATTCCTATGGCATCTGTTTGGGATGTCAGACTCTCTTTTGATTGAATCTGGTCTGACCCACAACCACCTTCTTTTTTTTATTTTATTTTCACTTAGAACATTGAGTTAATTCTGCCCATTAGAAATCTAACCTTAAACTCTGTGAAATCACTTATTTACAAGAAAATTCCTTGACGACAGACAATCTTGAAGTATTGGCTAATTATTTTAGGTGGGTGTTATTTGAATTTGTCACTTGCCTGTTATTAACTTTGTGGGGTCTAGGGGTGCACAGTAAAAACGTTATCATGTCCTAAGTCTTGGTGGTGTCTCTTGGTGGGATTATCCTCTTGAGACTGTGTATTCTTATGTGCCCAATTTCTCTAAAACGCGAGAGTAAGCCTTAGCAGGATAATACTATTCCTATGGCATCTGTTTAGGATGTTAGACTCTCTTTTGATTGAATTTGGTCTGACCTCCCACAACCTTCTCTCTTTCTTTTTTTTATAACTTAAAGCGTTGTGTTCGTTTTGTCTATTAAATTTATTTATCACGAGATACAAGAAATGGAAAAGTTGAGCAATGATGGGAAGCATCACAAACCTTGAGGATGTATTTAGAGCAATGGCATTTATGTGTTAAGTTTGGATATAAAGGGCTCGTTGATAAAAATTGGTTAGAAAGATTCATCTCACTATGATTATCGAGTTTTACGATATTCAGTCCAATAATTTATTCAGATTTTTACGATCACGTAAGACTTTATAGATCCCGTTATCTTGATTAAAAATAGAAAAATTATTATTTTTTTTAAATAGATATATCAATTAATATTGCAAATAAAGATAACCCCGAAGAGATATTCATAATTTTTTAAAAATAGGAATATATATATATTTTTTTTAAATTAATACAGTATATATATATATATTTGGTTATTAAATTATTAATCTAATCTACAATTTATTAAATAAATTTGTCTTTTTCATTATCTATATACTTAAGGAAAAGTGAAAATTATTTTCTTATTAACTTTAAAAAAATAAGATTTGCAAAGAAATTATCTATTTTTTAACAATTTTAAAGTATATTAAAGATCTATAATATATTATTATAATATTTAAAACTTTTTTTATTTTGATTAATTTATTTAAAAATTATTTAATTGTATTTTTCATTATTAATTTCAGAATTCTTAATTTAACAATTAATAAAATTAGGCTATTATATTATTTAGTCAATTTTTATTTATATTTAGATAAAAAATATAAATTATATAATAAATTTTTTTCTCATTTGTTTTAAAGCAGCTAGTATATAAATAGATTTAAAAAATTAATATTTTATTTTTTATTTTTTAAATTTATTTCTTAAAATAATCTGTGATTTAAAAAGAAAAATATATAATATAAGTTAAGAGTAAATATAAAAAATATTTTCTTTATAATTTATCAATAATGAATGGTCTTTAAAAATTCAAACAAATATTACAAAAATTTTTAACTTAAAATACTTTATTAAATTACTTATATAATTAAAAGATTTTAACTATATCTACAGTGATTTTTCAAAATTTAATCAATATCATCTTTATAAAGAAGAAATTTTATTTTTTAACTTTATACATTTATTATATTAATATATAAACATATTTTTTATAAAATATATCTTGAAAAACATATACTTTATAATAAAAATAAAATACTTTTCATATTTTACATCTCATAATTATTAAATTTATTAAAGAAAAATCAGTATTTATTTTAAAAAATATTATATAAAGAAAAATAATTTGAAAAAAGTAATAATATTATAAAAAGAGACTAAGAAGTAACATATAATATTATAAATTTATAAGAAATAACTTTTATATAAAATAAGAAGAAATACTAAAAATATCAAATTAATTGAACTAAATCATTTTACAGAATCAAATAATAAATTCTATTTAATTGAAGATGATAGATACTTTTATTAATAATAAATAATAAAAAGATACTAAAAATTTTAAATTACATTAATTATAATTCAAAAAATTTATATAATAAAGATAATGAAAATAATTACTCTTTACAAAAAAAAAAAATTCTAAAGAAATTAACTATAAAATAATATAAATAATATTATTTAAATTTAACTATTTAGATATATATTAAAATAATTATTAAAATAATTATTTTTTAAAATTATTTGTGAATAAGGTATATTACAAATAAAGTTGTTAAATAAAATTAAGAGATTTTACAAATCATCTAAATATATAAAAGTAAAATTTAGCAAAATTATATTAAATCTTATTAAAAATCTGTAAAACTCAGGAAAGATAAAATTATATTAAACTTATAAAAATGTGAAATTATATTAAAACTTACAATTAAAGTTGCTTATTTAAACTTATTTTGAATTTGATAAAATATTAAAACTTTTGTTTCATTAATTTTATTTTAATATAAAATATAAATTTATAATTAATAAAATTTTTTTTAAATAAATTTATTAAAGATACTTTATTTAAAAAAAACTTAAAGAATTATGAAAATTACAATAAACTTAAACCTATTCTATTATTATAATGTATATATTAAATTAGTTAATAATAAAGTTTTGAATTGATCTAATAGATCAGATAACTTAATAGGTCAACTAAAAAGTTCAGGTCAGATCAGGTGTAGTATCCAATCTGATCCTATCCAAATTTTTAATTCAAAATTCAAAATTCAATAATTTTAATAATATTAATCTGTTTGAAATAAAATAACTACTATATAAATTTTTGTATAGGGATAAGTTAAATATACTGTATTTAATTTATTTTAAATCACTGATTACTAAAATATAATTTATTTAATTTTACTATATAAAATTTTAAAACATGTATTATAAATTTATATATAAATATTAAAGATGGCATTGCAATATTGTGATACTTATTTGTCACCTATTGCAACTTAAATTTTAATAATGTTGCAATTCGTTACAACATTGTGATGCTTATTTGTCACTTATTGCAACTAATTGAGACACTATCTTTAATAAATACAAAATTTAATATAACTTTATCAATATTTATCCATATAAGAAGTAATAGTCACCATTTGATTTGTTACATAGAGATGAATCTAATGAGCTATATTTAGTCTATTTTAGATTATTAGATACTAAGATATCTCAAAATAACTGTTTTTCAATTTTTTAATATAACCTATAATCTAACTTATAACCTGATCTGACCTGATACTTCAGGTCAGGTAAAGTAGAATACCTAATCTAATCTGATCTATTCAGAGCTCTAGTTAATAAATATATTAAATTTATTATAATATATTTTAATTTTTAATTTATTTCTAAATATATATAATATTTAATTCGTTGAAATATAGCGTAGAATTATTTATAATCTAAATATGATAATACAATATATTCATCTGTTCTTTTATTCTTTGTTTGAGTTAATATTTATTAGTATATATTTATTTCACTGCTAATCTATTATGAATTACTTTATCACGTGAATTTAAAGTAAGTTAATGCTCAAGACTTACAACAGTTTCTGTTATCTAATTTAATTATAGATTATAGAAATTCTTTAGTATTTTTTTATTCTAATAGTATTTTAATATATTTTTAATGAATTATCAGAAAAATGCTTTACTTATAAAATAGATTTTACTTATTTATTTTTTATAATTGCTTATAAAATATGAAAATTTAAAATTTTAATTTATTATATATAATCAGCATATTAATTTTTAATAATAAATTATTATATATTATTTATCAAAATTAATAGATATTAAAAAGCTTAGTTTTTTTGAAATTATTTAATAGATATTATAAAGTTAATTTTATTTAATTATACAATTATTTTTTGACTTATTGCATCATAATAAATAGTAATTAAAATTATTATAAATTTTAATTAATAGGACTTTTTTTTTAAAATTTAAAAATAAAATTATTAATTATAATTTATATAAGTAATTTTATTTAAAAATTAGGAATATCGCAATTTTTTTCTTATAAAAAAAAAAACTATGATATTTTGATCTTCATAAAATTTACTAAGTTATATTTAAAAGTAGTGATTTGATTCAGATATCTTTTTATCTGTAAATTAATAATCTGTGATCTCTTTTACAGATATAGATTATTATTTACAAAACTCCTGAAATATTCAGATTAAAGATGGTAATCATAATTAATATGTTGCAACATATAATATTATAACATATGTTGTAACTATGTTGTAACAATTGATAAAATTCATTAATTTGTTGTAACACTTAGTAATTAATTTAACTAATTTTTGCAATTTTGCAATATTTTAAACGTCTGAACATTGAAGATGTTAAATTTTTGCAATTTTGCAATATTTTGAACATCTGAACATCAGAGATGTTAAATTTTTGTAATTTTGCAATATTTTGAACGTCTAAACGTTAGAAATGTCAAATTTTTGCAATTTTACAATATTTTGAATATCTCAAACATTAGAGACATCAAATTTTTGCAATTGTGCAATATTTTGAATGTCCCAGACATCTGAGATATCAAAATATTGCATTTTTATATAATTGCAAATAAATCGCATCTAAAATTGGCAAAGTCATGTGACATTTTGCTGATTTTGCCAATTGGTCGCAACAAAGTTAAATTTGATCGATTAGATTATCAATCAAAAAATTTTTAATTACAATTTTCTTTTTTTAGTTTTTTTAACTTATTTTAACCAATTCTGACTTGATCTTTTCAATTACTTTTGCTTCTTGTCCTTCTCAAATTAAGATAATATATCAATGATATTGTTGTATGTTTTTTTAAAATTAATTTTATTTTATTACATTGTAGTAATCATCTTTCATAAAAAAAGTTTAATTTAAAAATTTTTTTTTAATTTTATTTTTAAAAAAAAAAACTAATCTTACTTATCTTGTAGACTGATTCATAACCTATAAACTGTGAATCTTTGGAGGTAAGTCTTAATGGTAACTTTAATTTAGATTTTTTTTTTTTCAATTTTATTTTTAAAAAAATAAAATTAATCTTATTTACCTTGTAGACTGATTTAGAATCTATAAATTGTGAACTTTAAAGATAAGTCTTAATGGTAACTTTTTAATTTAGATTTTTTTTTTTTTTCAATTTTTATTTTTAAAAAAATAAAAACTAATA